CTGAGCAAACGTGGTTTCTTCACGTAGAGAGATACGCCTCTGTTATTGGAATCGTTATTGCCGCTGCTGCGCTCTGCGTTACCGTCCTTGGAATCATCGTTGGTGTTGTTGTTGCTGTTTTGGTAAAGTGAGCCATATTGAAGAGACGATCTCAGATTCTAAGCAGCGTCGCATCCATCTACTACCGTAGGCCGAGTGTTTCGGAAGACAACGACTTTTCGGAGATATCCATAAATGTTCCTCCTGGATGGTGAAAGACTAGACTCGAGGCTGGGGTAGACGGAACGAGTTCTCGGAGTGTGACTTACAGGATTGTTGTTAAGATAGACCGGAGTGAGATACCCAATACAACTTATGCGAGAAGAAAACCAAGTCCGCGTACGTCCAGATATACCACGATCATGTGGAAGAACCATACGATGGGTGGTTTCTAGAGAGTCAAGGATTAGTGTCTTTGTCACAGCGATGGCGTCTGCAGACCTTGCGAAATACTTATGCACATTCGCGTGGTATGGCGCCGGGGACTTTGGGATGCTGTCAGGCGCACCAAGCGCGACTGCAGACTCAGCTCTGCGCATGTCAACGACTTCGTCCCATCGTAAACCTGCGACCTCTCAGAGAAAGCAACAGGTAGAGCTAGGGCGGGCAAGCATCTGTGTAGCTCTTCACGTCATTGTTGGATCTCGCATCGGTGTACTCATGAAGCATGCGCCAAACACCTTGCAGTAGCAGTCCTTCGCGGACGGACAATGTACGGGACGTTTACCAAAGATCACTGTTGAACGTCAAATGTCTGCTAGGCTGTCGCAAAAGGGCCCAGCAGCGCCTCACCTCTTGCGCCCGCCCATTGGCTCCAGTCTCGCTATGATACGCTGGTACTAAGCTTGCATAGTGATCACCTTCGTGGTTGGATGCGTATGGGCCGTGACATAGCGAGGTCTGGATGGAACCCATCAGGCATGCAGGGACAGGGCTAATGCCTGCTGCATGTGCGCCACAAGTCTACTCGTGCTAGTTCACGCTCAGAATACCGCTAGCTCACGCTCATAGCCCCATCACAGTAAAGAGAGAGCACTTATCTTGCGGCGCGTTCGTCATATGAATCATGTGCGATTGCTAATCCTTCTTCTGAGCAAAGTGAGAAACAAGATTACAACTTCAAGTATCCTACGATTAACTACAGTATATTCAAAGAAGGATCACCCCATTCTACTTCCATCACTACATACAGTTGAGTTTCTGTTTCTTATTGGCTATACTAGTCCGCTAACCCGTCATAGTCTCTAGAGGCTGATCTCGCCCGCCCTGGAAGCCTCTGAAACCGTTGCTCATTGCAATGTCCGTTCCAACCACAACCTCCGAACAGGTTAACCTGGAAACTTTGCTACCAACACACATAAGGCTACGACGCGCCCATACTTTCCCTCCCCTCGAATCCCGTCACTCCTACCACGAGACGATACATTCACAACGCGACCCTGTAGGGGCGTCTGCAATGAGGAGGTGGTTTACCTATGTGAAGGAGTATGCCACCATGATCGGAGTTGTTGTTGGTATAATCGGAGTGATTGTCGCTATTGTTACTGTTGTTCTTAAGTGATCTGAGTAGGATGGAGCTTCTCGACGAATGTGATGGATAAGATTGTTGTCGAGATACCCAGGTAGACTAGAAGAAGATACTCGTTGTAGTTTGCGACGAAATAACTTTTCAATGCGCTTTCGAGTCTATGCTTCAGTGTTTGTTGCAAAGAACCATCCATACGACAACGGATCGATACAAGGCTGAACAAGCTACTACCTGGGCATCAGCTCGGTTCTTGTACCGGGAATAATTTCCGGGGGTTAGTGCTTTATCATGTGACAAGCTGGGGAAACCTGATTGGGCGTTCACCAGAGCCTCTGAGTGGGCAACGGGTGTGAACGTGCGAGAGGGCAACTCGCTACATAGAAATGACCGGGGTCGTGATCAGACTGAGCCCCGAAGGCTTAAAAACTCGTCTGAAGCAGACACGAACTCGTGAGGAGCAGGCACGGGGAGGAGCAGAAGAGAAGAATACATTTTGAGTACTTTGGTGGAGGTGTACTACTAGTCATCTTGAGTAACAGCACGAACACGCGTTCGTTCTAAGGTGTGGATTTTCGCCACTCGCACCTGATTGGTTGACGTCGGTCTAACTTGCGTAAATCGTCGAAGCATGGCTGTGCGTTACTCCAGCAGGTTTATAGCGCCTTGGCCTAATAGCGACATTGAACTGCAACTACGTCGCAATACCGTACTGCCACGCGCCCAGAGTTTACCTCTCTTCGAACCCAATCCATCGTACCACCAGACGCATTCAACAGCCAACAAGAAGGGGAAGCCATCTCGTGGAAGGAAATGGCTCAATCGTATTAAGGAGAACGCCGCTGTTATCGGAGTCATCGTCGCTATCATTACACTCGGCGTCGCTATCATCTCGCTCGTCGTCGCTATCATCGGAGTTGTTGTGGCTATTATTGCTATTGCACTGTAAGGAGTGGAGGGGTGGAGGAGTGAAGGGGCTATCCTTCGTTAGAAGTTTTGTCGAAAAGAACATGCGAAGATGTTGTTATGATGGAGAGGAAACCAGATAGAAGAAAGGAATGACCAATGAAATGTTTGCGAGGAAAATCCAGATTAGCCTTCGAGTGTATGCCATGATCCACGATATCTGTTGTTACATCTCTGTGCCTCAATTAACGCCGACGCTGATGATAAATACCGATATCAGTCCAGTCCAATCTCGCCTTGATAACCAACCTGCGGAAGAAGAGGGAGCGACCGCACTCCCTCTTCTTCCTTCTCCATCAAACCCTCACTTCCACCTACTCCACGCCCTCAGCCCTCTTCCTATACCCCTCCCTCCTCTCCAAGCTCTCCGGCTCCTTACCCGCCGCCTCGATAATATCGACCTTCGGCTGTTCCTCCGTCATATCAATGCGACCCGGCCTCCTAGGTCTCAACTGAGTCCTCTGCGTAATCGGGTAAAAGTATGCCGCCCGCTGCATCTTACTATCGCGCAAAGGCTCATTCGCATGTTTCTCCGGGTCATGCAGCGCAAGCGCAACAACATCACCGTATGTATCGCTCGGGTCGCCAACTTGCTGGCTCGTCTCGTACGTACGCACGTTATCGTATTTGAAGCATTTGCGCGGCTGGCCTTCGTCGTCTTCGGCGATATCGAAGTCGATGTCTGCTTCGTTGGAGGGGTCGTGCGTGGTAAAGTTGCGTTTGATGCCGCGGACCTTGTTCTTGTCGGAGGGGAGGAAGTATTCGAATTGCCATCGGGGGATCGGGGGTGGGACGGTGGGGTCCAGGCGGTGGGCTTCGCGGTCTTCCATGTACTTTTCTTGGTCTTGGATTGTTTGGCCGGCGGGACGCAGGAGCGCGACGTCGAGACGCGGGTCGTAGGATGGGTCGAGCGGGTTGTTGATGGGGGGTGCGGTGAACTTGAAGACCATGTAGCCGCCGGTGTCGGGCATGGCGTCCCAGTCTGGGAGGAGTGGGTAGGAGTCCACGAGTGTCAGGTTGGGGTTCCGGGGGTTCTTGGGCTTGTTCCATGCTAGTCGCTCTTCGGGCGTCGATTCCGCTGCCCTGATGTTCTCGGCGCCGTCCTGTCCGTTGTAGGCATCTGCTGGGTACGCAATGTTGAAGCTCTTCAGGATGTGTCTCGCGATGTTGGTTGGGTCGTCCAATGAGGTCTCTACCTGCTTTCGCTTCCTCCGCAGGCGCATCGTGTTGGACGAGTTACTGGACTCGAACTTGGAGCCGCCGGTTGTGCTTGAGGTGACATATTCGGTTCGTCGCAGGAAAGTCGCGCCAGAGGCATTGGTCTGCGTCTTGCCAAGCTGGTTCGGTGGTCGCATCAGCGCCCTGTCTGCTGTACTGAGCGGTGGCGGGTGAGGCATCGCCTGAATAGCTATTGGACGCGTCAGTCGCTGCGAGGGCTTTGCGCCACGGGTTCGCTCTTACCAGACTCGTCTCCATCGAATACCTTAGGGATACCCACCAAATCGATGGGCATTCCCAGCTCCGCATCAGCCTCAATATTCAGCGACTGCTCTCGCGCCAGTCTTGACGCAAAGCCCGCTGATGTGTATTGACCGCTCGAAAGACCAGTGTTGGGGATGTCCAGCAGCTTTGGCGGACAGGGTGGAGGAGGCAGCGCATTCGAATATCGGATTTTGGCAATGTAGTCCTGGTGGACAACAGGGCGCCCGGAACTCATGATGCCGTCTTTTCGCGCGCCGTCGGCTTGGGGTGGTGGAGGTGATTGCGCGGTTTGGTGAGGTCAAAGAAAGTTGAGCTCGGGATGTCAACGCGCCAGGCAAGCCGCGCCAAGACGCGTTCCGCGCTATCACCAGGGGCCTTCGCCATTTACCCAATGGAGAATTGCACCTGCTCATGGGCGTCGCGCTCGACCTTGTAGTCTTTTTGCGAGTAGCCTTTGGTTGTATACATTGAGGGTTCGAATATTTTGTAGCTGTGGCTTGCCGGGCTGTTCGTCCAAGGTGGTTGTCTACTGTACTCCAGCCCGAATCAAGACCAGGCCCCGGTCTGACTCAAAGGCGCAATCCATTCTCCGGTGGTCATCTACTGCCATTCTTAAGTGAGTTCGTACGTTTGATAGGTGTAAACACGGAACAGTCTGAAATCGAGAAGTGACGAAACTGGTTAACGTTCAACGTAACGACCGTGATGATGATATTAGGTAGAAATTCTATAATGACCCAGCTCCTATTTACAACACCTCTCTGCCACCCATTATCCAGGGTCCATACTGTCATACTGTCTATAACCGCGACCAATATGCATGGCTGCAGTTTCCTATACCCAAAACGCCATGTCTCATACCAGCTCCGCATCAAAGCGTGTGGGTAGTTATCAGCCGGAAGAGGTTCTACCACCTCCCAACCATCAAGCGTGCGGCTAAAACCGACAAACACTCGTCAAAGATTGTAAACATGCCAGCAAATATTGCTCAGTTGGCCTTCTTGAGCTTGGCAGCGGCCATCTTGCGCTCACGGCGCTTCTTGGAAGCCTCAGCACCGGCCTCAGTGTCGAAGAGCAGGTCCCACCACCTGAAGCTGCTGGCGTAGTTGCCAATGAACTTCTCGTGGTGAACATCGTGGTGCTCGGCGCCGGCCCAGAAAGGCAGGAAGTGGTGCAGGCTCCATGGGAACTCGTAGCCGCTGTGCGCGTCGATGGCCTGGAACACACGGAGGCAGATCCAAGCGTACATGGTCAAGATATGGAGGTCCTTGGTGATGGCGCAGAAGACGATTGGGACTCCGACAGTACCGAAGCCCAGGATCATGACTTCAATGGGCGAGGCGTACTCGGCGGCCAGACCGAAGGGAGCAGAGTATTGGTGGTGGATCTTGTGGATGTTCTTGTAGAGGAAGGAGCTGGCGTGCATGGCGCGGTGCATCCAGTAGTGCCATGCATCCTCGAAGACGAAGAAAATGGCAATCTGGTACGCCATCTTGTAGATGCTGGGGAAGGGAACGGAGGTCTGGAGGCCGAAGTACTGGCACATGGGGTGGAACATCCAGATCTGGGGAAGCTCGACGGTGAAGTGAGACAGGAGGACGAGGGCGGCGCATTGTGTTTGTTCCCAGGTAGTGGGGATTTTTTGCTGCGGCATGTTAGCTATCGTCGCATGGAGCTGTGCAATTGCGGAGACGTACGTGTTGGAGCTTGTATCGGTTGAAGAAGGGTATGCAGTCGATGATGATCCAGGGAAGCGCGCGTCCAAAGTAAAAGAGCTCGTGGAAGACGAAGGACATGATTCCGGTCGCCAGGACATCGTTGCCCATCCATTGGTACCAGGCCATCCACATCTTCTCGAGGTAGTTGAGCTGCACATTGTACTTGGAGATCTCCTCAAAGGAGCCCCAGTAGGTGTCCTGCGCCATAGGCGTCAGGAGGGAGGTTGCGTTGTTCCTGGCATCTGTTAGTATCTAGGGCATGCGACTTCGGGGTACTTCGGGATCGGGCGTACATTGTGGCTGCTCTCAATGTCCAGCAGTAAAAACAGAGGGCAGATGCAGTGTGCAGAGGTAGAGCGAAGGAACGACTGCAGGTTGCAGAGTGGTGAAGGAGCGATTGGCGGAGGTGCTGCAGTGAAGAAGAGCAGATGCAGCAGCAAAGGAGGCGGATTAAATTGGAGATTGGCGGCCCTGATCGACGTTCGTACCACTTTTGCCACCCAAGGTTCACTCAGTTCCGAGCGGCCAACGCGTGGGCGCAAATGCACTAGTGCCTGCCCAGAAGACGCGCCAGGCCAATGACCCTTCGCCCCTGGCCTTCACCGCCTGCTGAGCTTTCTGTTCGGCAGCGGCTCGAGTGTCCCCGGCTTCCACATCACACCAGCGCCGCCCTGCAAGGCGACTGTGGATCGTGTCACGGTGAGCCCACCGCAGGCTGATAAAGTCGCTCGCCCTAGGTAGGCTTCTAGAATTGCGGCATGACTGGACGGCATCGGCAGTGCTAATCGCGAGAGCATGACGCGGTCGGCCCGACGAATCACATCACCACGAGTACGGCGATGTACTAAGTCCCGTCCACGTTGTCACTCGACATCTGACATCGGCATGTAGTTGTGGTCGTGAGGTAATTCAGTGTAGCTATTTATTTGGTTATACGCAGCGCCGTCCACACATGTCCAACACCTGTTCGAAGCCATCTCTCTCCAGACAAGGAATCCCTTAACAATCGTCGGCCCTACCATCATGGGATTACTACAAGTTTCGCAAAGCGTCCATTCCAATACTGTTGTTTCATCTCTGACAGAGTCTTGAATCTAGTCTCACGCAGTCGCTTGAAAGCGTGAATTTCTCGAAGAACCGTTTTCCAACTACCAGACGTGAGATGGATGCTCGTCAAGAATACTTCCCGCGTTGTAGAATTAACTCTGCGGAGGAATGGTATGAGCTGTTCGCTGGTGACCGCGTATCCGTGGAGTTCGAGCCGGATCAGGTGAGGAAAACGAGACTTGGCGAGGAGAGAGAATGTCTGGTAATCAACTGCGCAGCTGGAATCTGTCTTGCAGCCGATGAGCCGAAGTTCGGTGAGGTTCCAACATATTGGGCGTGAGTTAAAACGCTCATACTTCGGATCAAGTCTCATCGTCGACGGTGCCCTGATGTTGTCCATTGGATGCGCATGGTCCACATCTACAAAGTTGAGTTTCTGAAAGCTTGGGTGATCCAGGTATGGCCATAGTCCAGGTAGAGACAATCGTTCAGTCCCGGTGAGGTTGCGCATATTCAGGTGAATGATTTCCTTGTTGAAACCAGTGTCCGACAATATCCGATGCAGCAATCGCATGTGTCCAGCGGAAATGTAGGTGCCAATCTCGCGGTTGTAGATACGTTGGAACAGCCAACGAGCAAGATTAGTATGGGCGTAGTCGAACCCTATACTCATGATGAAAGGTTCTGAACGCGGTAACGGCTTATGAGCGCTACTTCTCGACCCAAAATGTATCTCCTCAAGTCCTTCCATAACTTTGAATGAGGAGAAGATCTTCTCGAGAAGAACCGGGGCGTAGTTAGCCCAGAACAACTGCCGTACAGGTGTAATCTGAACTTCGTTAGCACACAGTGAATTTGAACAAGGCGACTAACGGGAAGAGCGCACCCTCCCAGATCCGAGCCCGTCCTGGATGTACGACGTACCTTGTTCTGGATTTCCCGAAATTTGGCTGACTCCACGGTATAGCCGAGCCAGTGGTGTTTGTCTCGATCTCCTTTTTTGTACTCCCTTATGGCGTCCACTCCAGGGTCGATAAACTCAACGCATTGAATGCAGTCTCGCCAATGAACTATCGACGTGATCTCAAGAAGCGCTGTCAAGCCGTCTTTTGTCATCAGCACTCGAACGTGTCTGAGCCTGCGCCTCATACGTGGGCAAAGCAAATAGGCGGCGGCTGCGCGAAAGAAGCGACAGGTCCGACGTAACGCAAGTAGCTCGCGTACAGGCGAACTGGGTATGAACTTCACGATGTTTGTGATGAGCTCCATGGGAAGGTTATCGAGTGCTGGTTTAGGCGGAGGTGCAAGTACGCATGGCATCGCAGCACAGGCATCGGCCACGCCGTCGCCTGCAGTCACTGTTGTAGGTACCGAAGTCATGAGAGCACACATCGTGGTGTCGTTGAGGTGTTGGAGTGGCTCGGGAGAGCGAATTGCCTAGTTCAGAACTTGGTGTAAGGCTATTCCCGACAGTGAATGAACAACCGTTGCCCTTACTTGGCCAAAGAGCTCCACGCACATGCGGTGGCGCTTTTCTCTCTTGAGAACTCGGTGGTCCGCCTCTTCCGCTCTTGAACAGGTTTGCGGGTCTATCAATGATCGACAGATCAGCTTGGAAGCACCTGCCGAACCTGAGATCCATCCCAAATGGTCGAGCCCCATGTTGACGTACTCATAGGCTCAATAGGCGGAAGTGCGCCCCGCGGTGACCTAAATTCCCGGCTACACCTGCTAAATGTTGGACTAGGCGATGGGATGATCGGCGTCCTGAACATGGCAGGAGTCCACTCTGGTGTGCCGTCTCCGACCAAGCGCCTTCCGGGACCTGGGCTGGGCTGCTCTCTGCTCTTTATCTTGACCATCGCTCTACGGAAGAGTGGTCGCAGAAATGGTACGGAGGCTGAGATGAGGCCGACGTGCTGTTCCACTTGACTCCACATCAAAAGATCTGCTGTAGTCAGCCCTTGCTGCACATAGTCGTGCACCCAGAAAATCGTAGTGTAAAGCCGAAGGGCGGAAGCTATTACGGCCATGATACCGACGGAAAAAATAGCTATCAGCTCAAGACGGCGTCTAAGCGGCATTGTCGAAAGATTCCAAAAGAACAATATCGGTAACGTCCAGATGATCACATCCGTGACGAGGTTATAGATGGCATTGAAGATCCAGAATGGATTTGGGTTGTAACAATGAGCGTCGAAGATGTGTAGGACCCATGCTCGATACCAAACATCCCATGCGAACGCGTCGGTGATCGGAATGCACATGAGAATGGAGGCGATGATCATGGATACTCCGCCAGAGACTGTGATGGCAAGGAGTACACGGACAACGTATTGGAAGCGTTTGTTCGATGCGGCGATAGAATTGTAAACTAAGTCGATCCTGTTAGCCGAGTAGATCCTTCAAAAATGAGCGTTCCGAGGAAGAATGAAAGCACATGGGCGAACGGATAGCCGTTCGACGCGCAATGGCCGCCACTTGTGTAGTACTCGAAGCTCTCCGCGTTCATCCCTGGGATTGTGTGGCATAGAACGTACATAGCAATATCGACGTCTTGATGAGACAAAGATTGAGGATGAAGTTGACTCGGTATAGCCATATCGACAGTAGCGAGCCGGTGATTACGGGTCTCCCGGTTTCTGGCTTGTTTTTCTATGCTATGTTAGACCACAGTCATTCAACAGCTGGTAGCTACTTACATCAACCTGGCTATAATCGAGGAAATGGATCATGAAGCAATGTACCACCACTGATGGCCTAGATGTAGGAACGAATGAGTCAGTTCAGCTTCTCTGGGTTCCGCGGAGACGTTCATACCAAGTTGCGATCTGTTTCTGGTTAGCAATAGCAGCACAAGGGGTGAGCATACACTCACAAGGGCCAGAAGCATGACCCAGTCGGACGACGTGAGCTTTCCAACATAGAAATATCGGGTGTAGAATCTGAACTGTTAACCAACGTTGCGATCAGGGTTGCGAATGGCTGACGCACCTAAGGGCTACAACCACGGTCGACATAGAGGTAAGCACAAAAGCCAAGATGATAGAAAGTCGGCCATGAGGGGCCATCGAGAACGGTTCTGGAGCTTGACAATGAATCCGTTCACACGAACGGAATAGAATAGCTGACAGGAAAAAGAAACCGTGGAGGCAATACTCATGATGATGTGTAGGGGTGCCGCAGCCACTGACTATCAAACATCAACGGCAATATCCACAATGCCAATCGCGCGAAAGACGGCGTTCTCTAACGCAATCATGCATCGGCGGGAGTCCCACATTAGGATCCGAGTCATGTTCAGACTGTGCAGATTTGGGCGGGTGATGAGTCGCGTCGCCCAGGCTGACCAAACGGTGTGGCGGGGAAGTGCCGGCAGACAATGTTAGACCAAGGGTTATGCAACACCAACCGATGTGAGCAGTGCTGCATAGCTGTCAAATTGTCCCTGCTTCCCCGCACCGTACCACGCGACATTCATCTCAGCAGCAGTTTACGCGCCAGGTGTTTGGCAGGGTACGGATAAATCTTCAAAGTGAAGCTTGGGCCGTCGCCGCCTCAGACAACCCGCCAACTCAATTGATCCTGCCTCAACTGGCCCCAACATGATAGCAGCCCAGATATTGATCTCAGCTCTTTCGATGTTCTGTGCACTCTTACCGCTTTTATATCGATTTATCCCCTGCCCTGAATTGACGTAATTCGACCGATGTGTAGATGGCGAGTTTGCACTCAGCGCGTTACATTGTATATGTTGCTAGGCGTGCCATGTTCGTGACTTGGGGTTGAAACGGGTGTCCACTGTATATTTACCGGCTACTTCGGTAGTCTGAAGAAGACGCAGGCCTTAGCGACCTACCGCAGGCTTCAGCGATTGCCATGTGAGACCGAGCCCATAGAGACTTTCATGTGTGAGGAGGAGAGAAAATACCAAGGAAACCGTTCACCGTGTTGTCAGGGATCAATCAGAGTCAGCTTGGAATGTTGAGGCCCGGGGTTTGGGCGCAGAATCCAGCGTGCGCAGGCGAAATAAGAGTGGCTTTCTTCGATAAGACACCGGTGCCATGACTTGCATAGGGCTGAAAGCCGTCCGCATGAACGTGAATCGTGAAAGGTCCGAATATGATATATATGGAAGGAGATCGCGAGTAATACCGCAAGGAGAAAGTTTAGAACCTGAATCTGCTGCGAATGCGTTCTGGAAGCAAGGCGTTACGATGAGATGGTGTTGAGCGAGTCAGCTGGATCGTGGGCGGTTAGGTGGAGATTGACAGGATCGATCTTGCCGTCTCTTGGGCTGTGGCTTCCATCTCCGCTGATGGAATAGTAATCCGGAAAACCGGGCGACCAGAGCACCGTTGCCGAAACTGTGATAGGAGGCATAGAAGGATCAGTTCACAATCTTGAGGGGGACAGGATGATGTTATGAAAACTGCTCGTGGTGAGTGGCATGAAGCGAAAGGATGAAGACTAGCCCAGTGACGTCGATAACTACTAGGTCGACGCCATTAGTGATAATGGAGAACGTCCCTGAATCGATCAAATGAATTTGTCGGTTGAAGTACCACAGGCTTCAGAGAGGGTGTTCTTGAGGTGCGATGTCAGATGGGTTGTGAGGTTGCTAGAGTAGGAGCGACGCGATACCGCGGAAGCTGCCCGCGAACTAGCGCGTTTAGTGATATCATCGCCTCGAGTGAAAGTGCAGCTGTCAACCACGGTCGCGCCTGTCGCCTACGACGTTTTCACCTCGACGCTGTTTGTCACAGCTCATGCGCGAACTGCCTGCTGACCCGTGATGGCTCACTCACGTCTCTAGTGCTGGTTTTTCCCGCTTCACGTTCCTCGACCTGGCGCTGTTGCCTTCGGCGCAACTCATCACGAATTCTCCTACCCACGAGTAATCCGACGCACACCACGCACGGCGGTTCAATTCCCGCTCGAGACTCCCGGTGCCAATAGAATCGCTTTCGAAGCCCTCTTAGACTGCGACAACTGTCGTCATGTCGTCGCCCTCCGAGAACGCTGCGCTCGCCACCGCGCCTGAGATCACCGTCACCAATCCAGACAACTCGAACGATGCGACCATGCATGATGGTGGGGAAGAACTAGTAGAGGAAATACCGTCAGATGCCGACGAGGAGGCACGGTTGAAGATGCTCACGACTGGCACACGAGCGCAGGATGACTTGGAACGCGATATTGGCAGGCAGGCGGACCAGATGATGACCGAGCAGGCCGATGCGCGCGACAAGAAGCGCATAGAGAAGCTCGAGGGTGAAGCAAAGCGAGCGGAAGCTGCTATACAAAAGCTCAAGAACCGTCTGGCTCTACCAGCTCTGGACACGCAAAAGGCCAAGCTCCGTGGCGAGATCGCAGCGTATCGGGACAAGATCGATGGCCTAGATCAGGAGATGGATGGTATACAACAGCGTATCAACGATCGTCACAAAGCACCTGGGGTGGAAGAAGCAGCAGAGGAAGGCTCCAAAGGTCCTTTACCCAACGAGAGCCGGCGAGAGTGGCTCATCCGCACAGGCAAGATCACGCCTTTTTCCAAGCTGGCGCAGGACCAGCCAGACTCAGGGACGCTGGGTGAGGTCATGTTAGATGCTGAGGCGGAGGATATGGTGACCGAAACTGCGAAAGAGCCAGTATCACATCGCAACCTCATGAAGCCTGGCTTCCAAGACGTCGAATCCAGTTCAGAGGCCCCGAGCCCAAAGCCTACAGCCCGGTCGAAGAAGCGGCGGAAGGTCACTCCTGCTAGCGATACTGTAGGGTCGCGCGAATCGAGCGCGGCCCCGGGTTTTACCGATCCTGATTCAGACGATGCCTTTGAGCCCGGCATGTCGGATCGCCAGCTTGCGACCCTAGATGAGTCGGATGAGCTTCCAGATGACATGGATGAAGACGACTCATACGCAGAAGAGACTACCGGTCGTAAGCGTAAAGCTAAGGGCAAGAAGACGAAGAAGGCCAAGGCTGCTCCCGCAGAAGCTGCTGTCGTCGAAGATCTAGCAGGTGTCGATGACGGCAACGAGCGGCTATATCGGAAACGTATAGAGACTTGGTCCAAGAGCCGCGCCGCTGCTAGGAGAAAGGCCAAGGCCAATACTGGTGAGGCAACTGCCGATGAGGAGGAGGATGAAGAAGAGTGCTACCAGCCTCATCCTACTGAAGCTGACACTGAATTCGATGGCGGATTCCGCATCCCTGGAGACATCTACCCGGCATTGTTCGATTATCAAAAGACTGGTGTTCAGTGGCTTTGGGAGCTGTACTCGCAGAATGTTGGTGGCATCATTGGCGATGAGATGGGTTTGGGTAAAACCATTCAAGCTATCGGCTTCGTTGCCGGCCTTCATTACTCCAAGAAACTCACCAAGCCTGTC